CTTCTGTTGTCATCGTTAAACGGGGTTCAAATTCCAGACCCATAAAATACAGCGTTTACGTCCTGTGCCTGCACAAAGACAAGCTTAATGTTCAGAATAAAAACTGCGACAGGAGTCAGACTACCGAGGCTGGCAAAGTAAAGCCGCCCAACACTTTGGTGCGCATCGCTCAGAGAAGAGAAGCATAGCACGTTTCTGTGAATAACGGGCAAACTCACTCCTCCTACTGTTTGCCCATTCACTGTCACACTTCTAAAGATTATAGTTAGAAGTGAGGTCGTCGTAAAATTATCGCTTTGATCGTATCGTTCTCATTTTGCCGACAAGGTTATACTCGATGCTTCAGCAACTATTCTAGCATTTCCTGTCTGCGTACAAGCTTGAAGTGTCAATCATGGCAATGACTTTTAAGTAGAGAAGCCGTAACCTGCCGTTTTGCTGGAAAGCGGTATGAGGAAAGGATGAGCCGTGACACAGATCATGGTATTTGAGCGATCATACCTCACTTTGGCAAATGGCGCGTTTTTAGCGAAACTCAGTGGTCCGCTTACGTAGCATTAGGAGAATAGAGAAAATGAAAATCAACGCAATTTGACCAGATCATGAAAAAACAGTGTGGTTACATGGTAGTAAAAAAATTTAGTACAGTCACCAGTCAAAAATTTCAAATAGACGCTGCATTGACGAACCTTCAGATGAACGAAATTCATCTCAGTTAACTCGTGAATGTAGAAGGTAGAACCTCAGGAGTGAAACCGCCTGACGGTAGATTCTACTGAGTTTTGAAGAAAACATGAACGATATCATATGCATTGACGAATTCAGAATTTGTACTATTGCAGATTCGTTCATCGTTGCAAAGTCGCTTCATTTTTACGTGCAGCAACAACGTCCTTCTGTTAGTAACGTTACTTTCAGGATTAATGATCAAGCGACTAAGTAAACGAGATGGTGATGATAGAGATAACTTGATTTTTTGATATCTTGATCTATCGTTATCTGTTGTCACTGGGAACTTCGTCCGCCTGACTTTTTTACGTCATACCGGCACTACACTTCGGCTACTACTCGTCCGCAGAGTAGCTCACGATACGACTATACGATAACTGAATCTACATTTCATAGGAAGAAAAGCAAGAATTAAGACATGAACAGATAAAAAGTCTTTTTTACCTGTGTATCGCCTGGCAGACTCTGTTCAATGCATCATTTCTGTTAAAAGCTACGTTTAAACTGAAACGCTGGAAGTCGAGAAGAGCTAACAACACAGAAATGCAAGAAGACAAAGCCGGGCATTCGAATGTCCGAAGAACAGAATTAGAATGCAAAGCGAGGTAAGTCAAAATGAATTTTCTTGACACTCAAAGTTAGCTTAGTCCAGAGGTCTGTCACTAACCCTAAAATGTCTTGGGGCTGGCAAAACTTGTTTAATAATTAGCGTAGATCTGCTTAAAGAACGGAATTCTGACTGTCAACTCAGACAAGAATTACGAGGCTGAGGATATCTTCGGTATTAACCTGTGAAAAAAGCACTGTTAACCTTCAGTACCGTGCTTAAATCGTCTGAAAAGGTTTACGTTTCATAAACAGTATGCGCGGAAAGTCTCGATAATGACTGATCGTTGCATATGTGATTTAAACATTGGAATTGTATGACAATACCTGGCTCAGTGCTATGTTATGTCACCCTTTTCAATACGTGATGATAACAGAGGAGCGAAGTAAGTAGATGTAAAATTGGAAAACTTGAGCTGGGAAGATCTCGCAAATGCAATAAGGTATGGGTTTCAACTAGATGACTAAAAGTAAGGTGGAGTGAAAACAGTAGCTAAGTGCGCGGTGGTATATAGGGGAAAAGAGGAAAAAGCATATTTAATGTAATTAATTGTTTGGAGTAGGTACCTGGTTCAAATGATCAACATGGAAGCTGCTTAGTAAGCATAATATTTTCAACCCCATTACGAAATCATGCAAAAAATGCTGAGCAATGAAATCCAATATGATAGTGAAAAATATATATAACATATACTGAGGATTGCACAATGGGCTGATTGAGGAATAGCTGAACAACTAGCAAGTTTTCGCCGAACGTAATTGTTCTCATAAAACAGCAGCGATACAAAAGGATGAATGAACAATACAAAAGGAAACAGAAAGAATTGCAAACAGAAGAAAAAACACTGAAGTACCAGAATTTAGCATTATAAATCACTGACTGACATCCAACAGACAGCTGTTAACGTTTATATTCGACAGCCGCGTTCTGTATCTGATCATTAGGTTGCATGGCGTTTGTGCGAATGAAGAAACCCGATGCGGACTGAGTAGCACTACACTCCCTCTGTCCCTCCTGTACACCCTCATCGAATTGCGTTATAAAGTTTCATCAAACTACGTTCTCATAAAACTGTGGTACTGAAGGGAATACGGTGCACAAATCAAGGAGTTCGGTTTCCAACCTTCCATCTGCCCCGCCAAGTCCCAGAACCGGAAAATTTAAATGACTTTTCTCAGAGTCTGCAGTAAGGAAAGTAAAGTAAAGACCTGAAAGTCAGTCTTGTTCATTCGCTTGTCTTCAATGCCATACGTGGCATTCCTTTGTCGTTGAGCTTACTATGCAGAGTTGATTTCTGTTTCCGTCCAATCGGCAAAAAGTGTTTGACTCATAAAGGCACTACTCGTAGATATACGGCCGCCATACCATATAGCCTGATGTTTCCGCAGTAGTACCAACCTCGCGCACTTACCATTTACCCTTTTCTACCTCACTAAATGAAACTCTAGTAACTTGGCCTGGATCCAAAAGAGTGAATCTACAAGTCACATTTAACAAGTAACCCACCTCAGTTGCTACGTAACGAATTGCATACTGAGGGTGGATGTGCTCGATCTGACGGTTTCTTGACTTATTTGAATAAATTGAACAATTAATATTTTACTCTTTTTTTCTCAACGCAACATCATCGACAGACTTAGCTAACATTTTCTTACTTTTGGTTTTCGGTTTTAATAATGCCAATTAATGCAGTATAACTAGCAGACAAATGAACTTCGTCTATGCGGATCATCATTAAGATCATGAATTAAGAGTAATGTATGGAACGTGGACGACAAATTTAGACAGTGTTTTCGCCATCTGCAGTTTGAAAAATATGCCCATAACTCCTTCAAAACAGATTTCACGGCATTTTAGCGAGTTTAAGCGGGCCCAGGACGTGGCCAAATTTTATATTTGAACATCTGC